TGTGTTTTTCCTTTCACTGTTTTTTTCTCTTGCCCTGCTGCAACAGCTTAATGCAATAAGCGGAGACAATCCAGATGTGACCCTAGGATAAATCACTGCAGCTTTCTTAACTTTTGTGATGTGCATTGTTACTGAATCCCATTTGTTATTATGTTTTTGTTAGATTTACCTGCTATTCGCATTCCTTGCTTCAGAGCTAAAGAAAAACACCCTCCAAATGAGGAGGAGAAGACCAGAAGCGACCTTAACAGTTCTTGTTCTTCTGGGGTCTGAAGGCATACTTCTTTTGCTGTAGCAAGATATTTATTTTTTTTTTTCCTAAGAATTTCCCTTCCAAGGGTGGATACCTTTAACAAGTTAGTTTTTCTTTAAGCTGAGATTTCAGCATGAGCTGTTTTCTGCTGTCTTTTTGGAAAGTCTTGAACTAAGAAGTTCACAGTTCACTGGGAAAACTCTCACTATTCTCAAGTGAGGAGAAAGAGCTTTTGTATAGATTTCATTTTGAACGTGAAGGCAAATAGTTTCAGAGTTTAGTTCTAGTTTAGTTGCTGCATCTTTGACTGCTACCTGGCCCCATGTCCTTTCCCCATATTCTTTTTTTTTTTTTTAATGCAGTTTTGGAATGGAATTTTTACATCTTGAATGGACTGAACCCTAAAGCCAGGTAGGCAGCATTTAGGCACATTTTGTGTGTTGCTGTGGTCCAGCCAGCAGTGTCAGCTGAAAAAGCTGACTCCCTTGAAAATGCCATGGCTGTGTTTTGACAAAATGTGTATTTAATGGGCTACTGAGGGAAGTTTTTTTCCTAAATGTGAAACGGAAGGAATTCTTTTAAATTATGTCTAGGTAGAGCTGTGTTTAAAAGAAAGCACTACCCCAGCTTTAACTGTATTCTTTTTTTTTTTTTTCATTTTGCAGGATTCTTAGTTGCTACAGAAGAGTTTTTACTAGTTTGAAGTGGCACAAACTAATTTAAATTTTCCAACAAGATAATTCCTGAAGTGATTAGCTTTTCAGCTGATTACATTGAAGTCCAATTTTAGTCATCTTGAATTAAAACAGTAAATTTTACTTTGATAAATGGTTTAAAAAAATTGTGCTTTAAAACATAGAAATAATGGACACTTTGTTCAGAACCTCCATTTTGAAAAATACATCTTCCATCAAAATGTCCAGTAGGAAGTAATCTCTGTAGCATATCCATCCATGATCTAGTAAGACAGTATTCAGATCCTCAACAGATGTTTGAAGACTGACCATTAGTTACAAGAGTGCTGCTTCTATTTCACTTCTGAATACAAGTTTGTGTCTGCACACTCATGCACATAGAGAGAGAGGTATATATATGCCTTTGTGTGTGTGTACATATACTCACATATGTACACTCACACATGCATATGCACACACACACACACACTCTGCTTATACTCTGTTACAAAGATTGGCAGAGAAAAGCTCCGTTTGCCTGATGGGCATCTACAGTCCTGCTGAGAACATGTGAATTTTTGAAGAAAAAAAAGCCAAGACCAAAGCTTTTGGGCAGAAAATTGAGTATGAAAGGCAGATACAAAAATATTTCCCAAGTCTATTGACCTAATACACAAGCAATTAAGTCATGTGTTTCTTGATATATGTGGAAATGCTGAATTACTGTTTTAGTATAGAGTGTTTATCTGTAGTTTTCTCCTTGAATTCAGTCTATCCCTCCTCAAATTACAGTATTTAATGTTTTGGCCTACAGAACAAATACTACAGCAAGAAATAGTAATCCATCAATTGTTTAACAATGGAAAGATATTTTGTCTTTGGTGAGTTCCTCCTCATAGTCATCAGCAGGATCTTGAACTGTTGCTTAGGAAGCAATTTAGGTAATGTCTGAAATCTCAAATACCCTGTAAAAGAGGTCTGAAAACTTTCAGACTCCATAAGGACATATCTTTTTCCTGCGTAATGTACTATTGAGGCTATTCTACTTGTTTGAAGAGTCAGTGAGCCACTTCATAATAAATTATTATATTCTGCGACTACTGCTTCTTTTTGCATTTCTGTACCTATTGAGCTAAAGCAAATATGTTAATTTCCCAAAATGCAGATAAGCTAAAGTTCAGTTGATTTTGTATGGTGCTGTGATTACATGCATAGTGTCTTAACAGAAATTGAGTTAGATTTGTATCTTTTCCTAGCTTGTACTTCAGTTTAATACCAAGTTAAGGGCCTCAAGTCAGCCCTGTATGTTTCTTATACCACAGGGAATCAAGCTTTACCTGTTTGCTGCAGTTAATTTACTTGTTCCCTGACTGCTGTATTCTTTTCAGAAGGGAACATCTTCAGAAGTTAACCGAGGCTGTCCTAATAAAACAAGAGCCAGTGGAGCTGTTTTTCACTTTGCTTTTTGTGAGTGTCAGGATGAGCAGATACTGTACTTAGAGCAGTATGCTGCTTTCTGTGTTGAAAACTACACTGCAAGGAGGATCTGTAGCTGGATCCCACTGGAAGAAAGACAAAACACCACCTGGATGCCTGCTTCAGTATAGGGAGTTTTTTAATGAAATCAGAAAATATTACAGTAGCTTAGGAGAAATGATCGTCCCTATCAAGGAGAAAATAACCATACTTGCGGCATTACAGAGGATGCTAAAGTCTGATTCAAGTTTTAAGATTTGTTCATCTGAAACTGTAACAAAACATAGCTGATACTGCTACTGGATTATTTCCCATTAAATCAACTCCTAATTCAATTGTGGTTTGGTTTGGTTTGGGTTTTTTTATGGCCTGAAAATGAATGTTAACAGTGTGCTGTTTTAAATGTGCTACTGTAATGGCATGTTTTAGTAGATAGATTGGTTTATCACCCAAGGCAGAAGTTACACACCCGAGAAGATGCAATACAGCCTAAACCTACATTTGACATTTTGGAAAGGGGTCACAGTAGGAGAACAGCTGAGTCTGACTTCCAAGTTAAAGGCTGGGAGTGTGGGGGGAAGTAGTAATAACATTTCACTGCATAGAAAGGAATTAAGAACAGAGACAAATGGATGGCATTCTTGAGGCTGGTAATGTGTGTTGTGCTGTCTGCATTTATTTTTTTTTCTGAGCATGTTCAGAGATAATTCAGGAAAAGGGCATGAGGTGTGTCTGCAGACTGGATAAAATGCTTGAAAGTAAGAGACTTACAGAGGTCAGGCTGTTGGCTTATCAAAAGATAAGACATGGTTTATTCTAGCATATGAGTAGGTTGGAAATAAGGAAAGTGAAAGAATCCTTTTTCATCTTGGGAAGAAAGAAAAAAGATCGTGATGCTTGCAGACGAAGCAGATGTAAGCCGTAGTTTACCATTGGAGCATACAGAACGAATTTTCCTTGTTGGATGTATTCTGTTCCAAGCTGGACACATTTCTGTGATGTATGATTAGCCCAAGAAGTTGCTGCCCACTAACAGGAAAATAAGCAAAACGGTGGACCACAACATACAGGAAGCTAATACAATCTGATTATATTTTTTTGGTCTTTAAATTGAAACAATGGAGCTGCCATCACTTCCGCTGAAACTCATCTTCAAACTCACAGAAGGAATATTCAGTCAGGATTGCCAGCCTAATAAATACTATACATTTTCTGTTTGTGAGTTTTTATTTAATTCATATCTGGTATCCAGCTGCATAATGACTCTTGAGATGACTCAGATTTATTTGGCGGGTTTTTGTTTAGGTTTTTTAGCAATTCTTTGGTCTGCTAAACATACTGGAAAAAACCCTAAAAAACCCCCGACTAGAATGTTGATCTAGATCTAGATCAACGTTCTAGTTATTTGATCTAGGTGTGACTTTGGGAAGAGGCTGAACAGGACTAAAAGTTTTATAATGTTTAGCTATAACTGTTAAGTCCTTTGTGGAGCAGGAGTGAAAATTACTCTTCTAACTCTGTGTGTTTCTCTAAATCCAAGCTTGTGGGATAGTATTTTGTGCCTTTCCGATGAAGTTCAATATCTGAAGCATAGCTGCATACTGTAGTGCTGGAAAGTATTTATTGCTTTTTAATTTAAAACTCCAATTTGTTTTGCAGGTGATTTTTCTGACCACACTGTTCTACCTATTGAGCTCCAGTGATGAATACTACAAGCCAGTAAAGTGGGTGATAAGCCTGACACCTTTGTCTCAACCAGGACCCTCCTCAAATATAGTTGGCCAATCTGTGGAGGAAGCAATAAGGTATGTTGTTGATTTCTTGCCTTTCTGGGAAATTCTGTTTTAAATTTAATGTTCAACTACAAATACTTAGCAATTGCAACAGCTCACATTTCAAAGACGAGTTGCAAATCTCAAGGATTTTGAAGAACTTAGCATTGATGATTTTTCCCCTTTGATTGTTAAAAGAGCAATTTGACTGGACTTGCCTAAAAAAAAATTCAGAGGTCTGTGCTGTAGTGAATACTAGTATTTTATAAAACTGATACACCCATGATATCCCTAACCCATCAAGAAGCAGCATATTTGCCATTTCAAAGACGAGTTGCAAATCTCAAGGATTTTGAAGAACTTAGCATTGATGATTTTTCCCCTTTGATTGTTAAAAGAGCAATTTGACTGGACTTGCCTAAAAAAAAATTCAGAGGTCTGTGCTGTAGTGAATACTAGTATTTTATAAAACTGATACACCCATGATATCCCTAACCCATCAAGAAGCAGCATATTTGCAGCTGTGTTGGCAGAAACGGCTAGTGCAGCGCAGTAGAAACAGATTCATAGAGCAAAATAGTTGAAATGGAGGACTTGACATCGGTACTGTAGACATTTCAGAGTTACTTAATTTTAAATATTTTTAGTCTAATCTTGGAGACTGAGTACCCATTTGCAGCTGGAGTGTATTAGATATGCTCCTGGAGTGCATTTTCCAGTTCAGTTTCATCTGAGAGAAATCTAGTTCATGATCTCCATGTACCAAATTACGCCAAAGGGAACAACAGGAGAGCACTCTCCTTACCACGCTTGAAACACTACTGTGCTGCACCTCCAGAGTGCATCCACAGTGTTTCATGCTTAGTTACCATTCTTATGTTTCATCTCTAAAGTACAACAATAATTGAAAAAGGATTTTTTTTTTTTGGTGTTTTTAAATACAGTTTACTGAGATTTCACAATAAAGTAATTTTTGGGGTAGCACATTCATCATAGATGAATAAAAACATCAGCTTTTACCTGTTAGCAGCTTGAAACACTAACATGTTGGTAATGTAATAAATGGATTTTAAATCAGGTATTTAAGTCATAGCCCACTTTTCAAAAAAGTTGAAGGAGTGTGCAAAGTCAACAGACTCCATGCTGAATTCTATACAGTCATTGTCTGTTACACCACTGCTTTCTGTGTCATCTTGTGCATACATACAAAACATGAATAGACTTCAAACCAGCAAAGTATAAAACTGCTTTCCAAACTCATTGCCAAATGTTTGCAGTTGTTTTTAGATGTACTTTAAAAGTGAACATTGTTATCTGTTATTGGAATTAAGCTGGGTATATTTTAACACAATGAGAAGGTTGTATCATGCTATGTAAAGATCTTGAACAACAATGATAACTGCTGTGGTCATTTCAAATGAAGGGCTAATCCAGGTAGAAAGCAACAAATTTGGAATTCTGCCAAAAAGTTAATAGCCCTTCTCTTGAGTGACTGTCACTGACTTTTCATTGCTCACATCGTTAATAATCTCAGTTCTATCTCCTGAAGTATATGAGTAGATTTAGAAACTGTAACTTGTCTCATGAATTGTTCTCTTTAGCCCTTGGTAGTGGGAAACAGTGTCAAAAAATAGGATATGGCTTCTCTGGGCATGGATGCTCTGCAGGAAGGATTGCATTAAATTTTAAGTTTTATAGGTCTGTGGCACAGGTGACCCAAGATATTTGTCAGAGTTCAGAATGCTGGAAGAAAAGAAAATAATGTTGGAGGAACCACACAAAAACAACTAGGAAAGAGCTAGCATGCATCAGTAACCGCAAATACGATGAGAAAAAGCCAGTGTCTGGAGAATGTGGAATGTGAAGCTGCTTGTCGTACAGAGGGGAACTCAGTCTGTGTGTTCACTAAGGTAGTCTGAATCAGTCATTCATATTTGTTTGTTTGGAGTAGCCTGTACTTGGTGCCTTATTTAAATTCTTTGGAATGCTGCTTCTGAGATTTTCAGAAGTTTCTCTCTCTTGCTCAGTTGTACTGCAGAATTTATTATATAATGCTTCTAGATTACCTTGAATTCCACTCAATACTTACTGTGATCTTCAGTATGTAAATATGAAGAGTATAGTAACAAATTCCCATGAGTTTATGCATGACCAGTTTGGTGCCATACGAAAAATAATTGCCACTGCAAGCCACTTCTTTTGTCACAAAGTAGCAGCTATCCTTTGTTTTTGAAGGTGAGTTGTTGCTAGGGGGGTCGGAACCTAAAAATGGCTTGTTTGCCTCATCTATAAAAGGCATGCAAAATGGATGTTAATGCTTGGTGGTAGGATGGGAGGAAGAGGCTCCATTTGTATGATGAATTATCAAGTAATGAAACTTCTGCAGTTACTTTTGTCATTGGACTGTGACAGCATTACACAATATAAATTCCGACTCAAAATACTCACACATTCAATTGACCAAAAGTATAGAAAGATCAGGTTATAAATCTTGAAAGTCACTATCTGTGTTTCAGCTCCCATCACTCTTCAGCAGTTGATGTACACAAATCTAAGAGTGCATCTAACTAGTCCTGTCTGGAGGGCAGGGATCCCCCTGGCAAGAAATGCACTTAAATCTCTGTTGCTCATGGGCCAAATGGCATGAAAATACTCTTCTTGCATGTTATCAGTCACTTCTGTTTCACCTAAAATGAATTTTTGAAAAGCATTACGGAAATTGGATACAATCAAGGAAGTCTGTTCCTTTGTCTCCTTTGCCATTTCTTTGTGAGGAGAAGAGCAAGGGGGAAAGAAGAGGAGGGCAATCAGCAAATGGCTTCTGTAGCTCAAGAAATCCCTTAATTTGAAGGTCTTATCGAGCAAGCACTAATCAAGCCAAGATCTTCTCCTATTGCACTTTACCTCATTGCAACTGTGTTGTGACTTTTAATTTCTGGAGTATGAGTAGCTATATATATATTTTATAAAAATTTTTCTAACTCCCTTGGTGATGAGTTTACAAATACAGTGACAGTACTCTGTTCATGTTGTATGATTTATCAGCAGTAGAGAGGTAAGAACAGCTTTCCTGTGTATGATGAGCCAATTATTGAATGAGACTGTTGCTGTACACTACCTCAGATGTTAAATTTGCACTTGAGTGGGAGAAAAAAAGGTGCACCTGTAGTGAAACTCCAGCAGTTTCAAAGAAGTTGAAGAGAATCCAAGACTTACCTGCTGCAAACCATGGGATGAAATACCCTTCTGGATTTTCATAGGAAATCTGTTTGTCCAGGATGGAAGACAAGCAAAATATAAGACCCATGTATCAAATGGTGGGAGCAATCAGGGATTCGTCAAGGGCAAGGCATGCCATGCGTATACGTGAGAGGTTGTTTGCCCAGATTAGTGGCACAAGGACAGACCAATGAATTTCAGAAGATGGCTTTAAGGCACACGAAGGACAAGGTGACATTGCTGAACAGCCAGCACAGCTTGAGCAAGGCCAAGTTGTGCTGGGACCACCACGAGCCTTGCCTTGAGGAGGTGACTGTCCTAGTGGCACAGGGGGGAGAGCAGGGACTGCTGTTTATGCGAGGCACCACCAAAGCAGGAAGGTGGGCATGGAAAGGGGAAGTTTCCAAAAAGAGCCTCCTACTCACAGACAGAGAGCAGGAGGGGTGAGGGGAGTGCAGATGCAGTGGCCAAAGCGCCAAATAAGAGAAGGCGAAAGCATTTCTATTCTTTGGTTGGTGTTTATTGCCCCGTCGTGAAGGTGCGGAGGCTGGGCTGCCGGTGGGGAGCCAGCCGGGCGCTCCTGCGACGCTGTTGGTGCCGTGTCACGGCAAGGAGCCTGG